TGGACAGGTGACTGGGAAGGGTGGGTGGGATGAGTCAATTTGCTGTGGGCAGGTACACGGGACCATCTAGCCTGATTATTCAGGAGCTGGAGGAGAAGGGAGGACTACCAGAGTGGGAAAGAAGAGATGACTCTTGCTTGGAACGTGGAGCAACCTGAAACAGTGCCTACTCCTCTCAACCTCACCATTTATTAGTTAATTCCACTGCCTTGTCTGTCCATGGCACCTGAAACAATGATAGTCATTCACTCACTCACTAACTCACTTATTCATTCATTTCTTTATACATTTACCAAGCTCCAACTACATGCCAGTCACCAGGGATAGGAAGATGAGTAAGAAAGAATCTCTGGGGTGCCTGGATGGCTCAGTCATTGAGCGTCTGCTTTCGGTTCAGGTCATGATCCCAGGGTCCTGGGATCGAACCCCACATTGGGTTCCCTGCTCAGCGGGAAGCCTGCTCCTCCCTCTCCCACTCCCCCTGCTTGTGTTCCCTCTCTCGCTGTCTCTCTCTCTGTCAAATAAATAAATAAAATCTAAAAAAAAAAAAAAAAAGAATCTTTAGGCTAACTGAACATAAAAAAAAAGAGAGAGAGAAGTGAGTCACTAAGTGTAGCCCATACTCAAGGGGAGGGGAATTAAGCTCTACCTCCTGAAGGGGGAAATACGAAAGAATTTGTGGATATATTTTAAAATCACCCCCACATGATCTTAAATTATATCTATTTGTATGGATTTATGTAATAAAGAATGACAAACTTGTTTTTGTTTTTTTTTTTTTTTTAAGAATCTTTAATTGATGGAAGAATAACAGGCAATTTGATAGGGATGGAGCTTGGAGGAATTAGATACCTTAGGGGATTATGGTCCACAAATGAGGTGATAAAGCAGTAATCTAGGATGATGATATTTGGAAAAAAGAGATTAAAACTACAGGCCTAGTGATCTTTTATATCCAATATTATATAGCAAGGCTGGGGGAAGGAAGTATCAAAGAACTCTGAGCTATCTGGGTGAAAAGAAGAATTCGAAAAATCAAGTAAAGGCCTTTATGACTTGATTTGCTTGTGAAGTGGAATGTTGCACTTAAGTTGCTATAGGAATGCTTAGGAGGGGCGGTCCAGTTTGAAATACGGCCCTGGAATGTAAGAGAAAAGTGAAGGCTGCGGGTAAATCTACAGTATTTGAAGCTATGGGGCTGGATGTCACAAGATAAAGCCGTCTAAGTAGAGGTGAGGTTAATGTCAAGGAAAGGTTTCCTGGGGACATGAGTTTTAAATATCAGTTTAAAGACAGATTCTCTAAGATGATGTAAGGCTATTTCATCCTTATGGAGGTCAGGCGTGATTTTGTCCTCAGCATGGTTAACAGCCCAGAGAAAGCTGGTGGAAAGGGGATGAGTTCAGGTATTCCTGGGCCCAGATCTCCACTCTGTTACTAAATTAACTATCACCTTAGTTAAGTACCTTAAGCTAAACTTCAGCATATTCTTTGTTAAGTAAGCATACTATGATTATGGGATAAGAAAATATATGTACTATATGTCGAGCCCATCTTACACACTCATTAACAGAGAGTTGCCATTATTTATTTTATTTTCATTTTTATTTTTGTAGCTTTCAGTATCAACAAGGATTGAACTATATTTCTATGGATAGAACTGTATTGACTTCTATCACCAAAGTGACGTGTCAGAGAGAGAAACATTTCTGATCTGAGACACTGAAAGATCATTCTATGGCTTTTCTTGGTGATAATGGGCTAAATCCATCTGTCTGATGTAATTTTAAGCAGAAAAGGGAACCTAACATTAAGCAGTTCACATAAAATATGTGAATAATCATGGACAATGTTAGTAGAACTTCATGTAGAAATTATATATTTAAAGGTGGTCACCAACTTTACATAAATATGGCCTGAAAGTAAAGGAATGTGTAGTTCTAAGTATAAGTTGAAAGGAGAAAAGATGAAGAAAATGAGTAATAGGAGTAAATCGAGTACTCCTCTAAAATCTATTTACATGGAGAAAATAATTCATTTCAGTAAAGTATAAAGTATAAAGAGGTAGGTTTGATCCTTAAATACAGAATACTATTTAAAAAATAGGAATTTTTTTTATATCCACATAGCCATATAAGTTGAGTTGTATATGATTTCCAGAAATGAAAGAAATAAGAAACTTTTGGTAGGCAGAAACTTATAATGTCTCTTTTAAAGAGGTACAAGTGAAATAGTGGTCATGTGTTTACATGTTGCTGAGAAACGTATTTATGCTTCTATTTGGTGCTGTAAGACTCTAGATAGCATTGCAGCTAAGAACACAGGTTCTGGATCGATACTTCCTATATATAAATGCCTGTTACCTGGCAAATTACTTACCTGTAGTGTATCTCAGTGTCCTAATCTATGAAATAGTACCTAGCCTGTAAAATCTGTTAAGAGAATTAAGTGAACTAGTACACATAATGAAGTTAGGGAGTTCCTAGCACATGGTAAGCATCCAAAAGAAGTTATTTTTTACATTATTTATTATCATTATTACCAGTATTTTTATGTAATGGGATAAAATTACTTCAGTAAGCTTTTCTCAACTCTCTAAATGCACCACATCGATTATACTATGTATGGTCTGAATTGACGTCTGACACTAATTAGTATTATAGGCTCCTAGTTGGTACAGGGCAGTAACTAAAATTTAAGCAACAATTTTCTCAATATTGTTGGAAGTGTCTTATATCTGGTGACTGAGTATGGGAAGACAAAGGCAGGATAAAGACCCTCTGCTAGAAAAAAATATGTGTCGAGGTTCAAAAGGTGAAGAGCTGAGTGAATGTATATGAGAGGGAGGCAAAGTGAATCCTAAAATTTCTGTTGATAAACATAAAGTAAAACAAAGATTTCTAATAAGGAATGACAGACCAATTTCTGGTTTGGGGCTGTTTCCTCCATCTTTGAACATTGGGTGAAGAGCTGCCTAATTTGCATATCTCTCATCTCCCACAAGGGAAAGAACAAGACTGTATAAGGGCCATTTGCCCAGTCAGGCTTACAGAGCCACTGTAAGCATCTGTAAGCATTTGTGGCATCTATTGAACATCCAGGCATCCCAGAGTTTGCCTGGGCAGTTGTTTTCTACAGTCCTCAGGCTGAGAGGTCCGGGAACAGACATACTGTTAGGGCTGGTTAAGAAGAGTGCAAACTGATCCATTTTCCTTGGCGCCCTTAAGATTTCCTAGCCAAAAACAAACAAGCACACACACAAACAAAATCCCAATTCCTTATGCCTAATATGTATGAATTGAAAGGAACAATGCTTTCTAGATTTCTATGACCCCCGATTAAATAAATTTCTGGTTTACAAATCTGTGGGTCAAGAACACTTCATTTGATTTGCCCTATACAAAGTAGAAATGAAATAGAAACCAATGATTCAGGCCCAATCAAGGACAAATATTTTATGTTTTTAGCTATAAGGTGTTAACCAGTAAAAAAAAAAAAAAAAACCTCTGTAACTGCTCTTTGATCCCCAACTTCTGCTTCTTTTGTGATTATTGCTTCCACTTGGCTGAATCATTTTGCTTCTCATATCAAAGATAACTAAGAAAACTATGCACTATCAACTTAATTTAAATTTATTCCATAATGGATCCATATTCCATAATGAAAATTAAATATTTTGACAAAAGTATTTCAGAATCAAAAAAGAAAAGGTATCTAATTGCTTGAAAATTACCCATAAACCTGTAAATTGCTTTCCTCTCATATACATTTATTCATCTCTTCACCTTTTGAACCTCAGCACAGGGTCTTTAGTAAACAAGTTACATTATGTACCAATAGTGATTTTTAGCACTTGTATCCAGAAATCAATGATTGGTAGGATCAGAGCATAAATTTTTCACCATTATGTTAATGGAGGAGGTTGTCCTCCTCTGAGTAATCAAGATGAAACCTTTTTAGGGTTTTTTTACACCTTGATTGGCACAGATTGGATTTTGGTCTCCTTATGTTCAAGGAAGGACATTTTTGCAGGTATTATGAACAAGGAAGGTAAAAAAAAATGCTTACGAAACTTTGATAAAAATAATTGAGCATGAAAATTCAAATACTATGTCACTATAGAAACAGTACAGTGATAATTAAAAATACAGACATCAGAGTAGTTGTAGGAAATATATTATGAATAATACATAAGCAAAGTGCATGTGTTAACATTTTTTCAAGAGCTTTAACACAGTTCTTAGATTTTCAGTGCCAACTGATAGGCTGTTATTAAAAAATAACTAAAACAAAACTTTGCAAACTTACTCCAAGCTTAGAGTCTACAAGAATGACATATTTTCGCTTTAACATTTAATTATGAATAACATAATGAAAAATATCTTTTATAATTATAATAAAAAATTTGGCACTCTGTTAGTAATAAGCACAAGAAAATAGCAAAGCCTTACCTTGTGTAAACACACTTTATATCTGCCTGATATTCTTTATATATGTGATATGATAGGTTATAAATCAAAGAGATAACAAGTCTTTTCCTTGTTCAAGGGTGGGTGCCTTCAGCAAGTCAATGTATAAAGGTGCTTTCTCCACATTGCTAGATTAGATGGTAAGGGTGAAGAGAAAAATATACAGACATGGTGTAGCTCCAGTCTGTGTTCCCTGAAGTTGTTAACTAAATCACACGACACAATCTCTTTTTACAAAACTGCGAGTATACTAAGATTTCTAAGGATAGATATTACCTAATATTAATCAGCAAAGACCCCAGAGCTTTCCACAATCATGACGTGTAACATTTTCTAAGATGTAGAAACCATTCATTATATTGCCATTCATACTGTGTAAGTGAAACCAAAAATTGAGGAACTTGAATTAATTGGTTGATACGTCAAAATTAAAACTAATAAAAGGGATACAAGAATTACATCCTTTCCATTTGATATCATAATCTTCTCTTTCTGAAGGTAAATATAATCATATATATATATGTGACTAACCTGGTGTTACTACTACTCCATTTCCATTGACCACAGGCCTCTCTTCCTCCTCCTCCTCAGGAGGCTCTACACTTGCTTTCTCCATGTTGCTCACTGATTTATTCCTCTTCCGTTTTCCTTCAGCACTTGGAGTGGCTCCCGGAAGTATCTGGTCTGTCACATTTAATAATAATGGTGCTGGTTCTGCTGGAGGCTTTGGCGTGCCGTAGTAATTGTCTGCAAATGATACCAAAACATTACAAAGTAAAATATTTCTCTTACTGCGTGCATAATTTGTAAAGAATGGAAATTATATTGACAAATATGTATCCTGTTTCTTACATATATGTGTATTTTACACACATTCATATATATGGCTTTGTATCCTTTCACATTTATATATATATATATATATATATATCTTTATTTGTTGCTTTTACTATATTGGGCTTTAATGCTTAAATAAAGATATAGATTTCTCTTTATCCTCACTTTTTGCCAAACCAAAATATAGTCTTATGTATTAGTCTCATATGGTAGAAAGCAATTTCAAAATTAGTTTTAAAATTTGATAAACCTTGATTATAACCTTTTTAAAGATAATTATGTCTGAATGAGGGTGCAGGTAACTTTTTTAAAAAAGATTTATTTATTTATTTGAGAGAGAGATTGAGAGTGTGCGAGCAGGGGGTAGAGACAGAGGAAGAGGTAGAGAAACAGATGCCCTACAGAGCATGGAGCTGGATAGGCAAGGCTCCATCTCAGGAACCCAAGATGTGACCTGAACAGAAACTGAGTCAGATGCTTAACTGACTAAGCCACCCAGGAGCCCCATGTAGTTTTGTTTTTTGTTTTTTTTTTTAAGCATATCTCACAACAGTCTGGAAAGGCAAAGCATATTGTGCTTTTCAAAGGGCTCTGGCTGTTTCCCTTGATGTGCACAGCATCCTGTCCAGAGGGGTATCACCAGGCCAGGTTAGTGGCTGCTGACAATGGGCCCTGCTGCCCTAATCATCATATTATCACAGCTCTTTTTCCCCACAGCTCCATGATCTGAGCTATGGAATATTTGTTTCTCCCATCAGTCTGTGAGGCTTCTTAAAGAAGGAGATGAATTCTTACTTCTCTCTGTAATAACCGCCTGACACATAGAAGGCATGGAATAAATGCTTACTAAGTGAGCATCTTTATATATTTAAGGTGAATTGTTTATAGTTTATAATTTTGATTGGTAAAGAACATAGTGGTGTTTTCTAAAATCAGTGTTACACCTTTAGCATCAACTTCAAGCCCACATTGGTGTTGTCATTTAATTGAATAATTTATGTTTCTTCTCAGCATGTGCTGAGAAGAAATGAGATGGTTAGTTGAGGGAAGAGGCTGAAAAAATCTTGGGGAAAATGGGCAGAAACAAAGGAGTCTGGTCCAAACATGCAAGTAGCCTCTGTGGTCCCAGACTCTGAAAGCCCAGCTGATTCTATTGCCATGGGCACAGCACTTGCCTGCCACCCGTTTGGCTGGAATGAGCCCCGGTCTCTCCTCAAGGAGCTCCGATTCGCTCATCTCCAGGAAAACTCTCAGGCAAGGCTCTCTCATTGGCTGAGCCTCAGTCATGGAGGAGCCTGTGAGCTGCCAAATTAGGGCAGGAGAATGGCTGCTCTCCTTCGACTTCGGGAGAGGGAGGCAGGGCTCTACCTTCCATCCATCTCATCACAGGGCCCTCCCCAGCAGGGAAGGGTCTTGGGGTGCTGGGCCAGCAGAAATGACCAATGCCTACTACCCTTGGCCTCCCCATTGGGTTGTTGTGAAGATGAAGAATGTCTGAGGAAGTGCTTCATAAACTGTAAAATTGCAATGGTTTTAATGGCAGTGTAAATCTCAGGCTGGCACTAAGTGAATATTCTGAAGGCGAGCTGTAACACTAATGCTGTTGCTCATTTTCATGGGTATTCACAGTTGTAAGAGAAATACAAGGGGAAAAAATATCATCATGTAAAGTGGTTCTTATACATGTAAAACCTTCATACAGAAGTCTGCAAAGTGGATGATACACATTTTGCTAAAGGTTACTTTCTAATTTAATTTAGAGCATTTCAAATGAATCAGACCTTTAAATGTACTTGCTGAATTTTGAGCAAACAAAAACTGCTAGTTACTTCTTAGAAATCTATTATATTTCAGCATCCCTAAGGGCTTGCACCATTCTCAGTACCCTGCTATGCTTTCTGTGGAATCTCAATACTCAACTGCTTATCTAATAAACATAAAGTAAAACTAGTAAATAACCTGCACATCCCACTAAATAATATACTTGTAAGTAGTATTCTGAGAATTTCAATACATTCAGGTATATACAGTATTCAGAAAAATGGATCACATGTCAGTGGTTTCCCCCCACTTGTCTTTTATAGTTTAAATTTCCCTGAAGTAGAAACATAACCTTCTATTAATTACAAATAAATTCATAGCTCAAGCTAAAAATAAATATGAAGTAACAGATCCTGTTGAATTCATATTGCTAAACAGTTACACCTATTGGCATGTAATGTGATTATAAATTATATAGTAATATTCTATTTCTACAATTTGATTTATGAAAATAAGACTGATGTAAAACTATATGAATCATTAGTTAAAATGTCAAGATTATCTTCATTAGCAATAATATGAGCAATTTAGAAGAGGCACAGAAATAACCCATACAGTTAGTACACCTGAGAAATATAATTTACGGAGAATATGCTATTATACCAAACCCAATGCATAGAACAAGGCAACCAGAACTACCTAAACTACATTGAAGAAACAGCCAGGTAGACAGCCAAGGCATTGAAAAGATTCCCTGATGTAAGTGTATAGAAATCCATATACTAAGGGTCAAATGTGCCTTTTAGGTAACATATCAGCATGATTTCAGAAGAAAATGAACACCAAACTGCCTTTTTTTTTTTTAAAGATTTTATTTATTTATTCATGAGAGACACAGAGAGAGAGAGGCAGAGGGAGAAGCAGGCTCCCAAGGAGCAGGGAGCCCGATGCGGGACTCGATCCCAGGACTCTGGGATCATGACCTGAGCCAAAGGCAGACGCTTAACCATCTGAGCCACCCAGGTGCCCACCAAATTGCTTTTAAATATAGTTTGGAAATAGGGTCCCATTAAGAATGAAATGCCTCTATGCATGGTGACAAGCATTTAGCAAATCTAAAATCTCAGAGTACCATCACAATATGGTATAATATTGAATGGCACAGATCATGCTGAAACAGACTGTCCAAATCCTGTGTCCCCTAAACTAGCTGCCTCTTTACATCCTTAAATTTCTTCAGTTAAACTAGGAACACGGGGCTGTAAGAAGACTAGTCAAAACAGCAACTACAACGACTAGTACTATGATTACCATCACCACCACCACAATTTACTGAGCTGGGCCCTGTAATAGACATTTTACTATGTACTCTTGGATCAAATGGGGACTAGAATAACTCTCACCCCTCAGTGCTCTTATAAGGATTAATGATAATGAAGGGACTTATAATGTGACTAGCTCAGAACAGGTCTCAATATATGATGGCTACCCTAGACATTTATTCATCACAAAACTGTATGAAATCATTCTGTCTCTGTAGTTAAAAGAAAATGGAAGCTCTAAAAATTAAAATGTTTACTAATATTACACATGAAGTGAGTGGAATACCTGTATCTGTTTGACTGAAGAACTTCATCTCTTCAAAATACTATGTTGCCTCTCAAGAGACATAAAAAAAAAAAAAAAAAAAAAAAGAGGGGGATGAAATTTGCAATCTGCCCTGAACTGACAGGAGAGTACTTCATTCAAAGCCACAACCAATGGGAGAGGGTGGGTGGGAAGGGGGAGACCCCAGGCTGGCTCAGTCTCTAGAGCACGGGATTCTTGACCTTGGGTTTATAAATTCCACCCCACATTGGGTGTAGAGATAACTTAAAAATCTTAAAAAAAAAAAAAAAGCCACAACCATTAGGCACAAATTATTACTTTCAAAAAGGAATGGTAATAATTGCTACCAAATAATAAAGTTGGGACATTTTGAGTGACCTTTTTCCCTCCCCCCCAACTCCAAAACTGTACATGTGCACATGCGTGCACACATATGTGTGTTTTGGGGGATGAGGTGGGATATAGGCTTTTCTAGTCTATTTTTCTCTGAATACAACAGTATTTGTAAAAGATTATGTATTCATTAGCAGTTTCATGTGAGTTTAATAAAAAATTTTATTTTGTTGTTGAATATCATGACAAAATCAAATGATATACAAAATTGCTAACTTATTTTTATTATAATAAGGATAATCTATACATTACACAGTCTTATTTTTAATCAATGCCTGGGGGAAAAAGACAATTATTTGAGGAATTTGATCTACTCCTCATCTTTTGAAGTACTTAAAAGAATGAATTTTTTTCCCATAAAGTTATAGTTATAAAAGAGTGAAACAGGGTGGGTGCACCTATTTCTGACATCATAAACATGGAAAAGCTTTCTAGAAATCTGAATAAAAAGAATATTCTATAAAATGTGAATAATTGGTTTTATAATAAAAAAATAATAAATGCCCATTACAATGGACACTGTACTAATTTCTTGTAAAGGAAGAGGGACTAAAACAGATTACATTGTTATGAACTAAACTTGCCTAGAGAGTCCTTGGGAAATTTAACTCACTACCCGCTTTTATGCAGACCCATTCCTAAGTCATCTAGAAGAGATGAAAATAGTTTTTTTTTTAATTTTATTTATTTATTCATGAGAGACAGAGAGAGAGAGAGAGGGAGGCAGAGGGAGAAGCAGTCTCCCCACTGAGCAGGGAGCCCGATGCGGGACTCGATCCCAGGACCCTGGGATCATGACCTGAGCCGAAGGCAGACGCTTAACCATCTGAGCCACCCAGGCGCCCTAGTTTTCTAAATAACTTTTCATGTAGTACTCTTGAAGACGACCATGGAATTATTTCTCTCTGACCAAATAACCTTTTCAAATAATCTAAGTTTTAAAAATAACGTTTTTATCTTTTTCTGACCCATCCTAGGTGTTTATTTGTTTGTTTGTTTGCTTTTTTTCCACATTGATTTTAATGGCAAAGCCAAGGGGGGAAAAGAATAGGAGACCATTTTAATGAATTATAAACTGTTCTATTTTCTGTACCCCTGGTCTTTATTGAAGGAGAATAGACACCAAAATAGTATTTTCTGAGACATAC